CCCCCCTCCTCCTCCTCCCTCCTCCTCCTCCTCCTCCTCCTCCTCCTCCTCCTCCTCCTCCTCCTCCCCTCCACCTCCTCCTCTTCCTCCTCCTCCTCCTCCTCCTCCTCCTCCTCCTCCTCCTCCTCCTCCCCAGTGGTTGCACATTCGTCACTCGTTATGGCCGTGCAGCTCGAGGAGGCGTGTGGAGCAAGCGCCTCCTCTCGAAGAGGGGCGGGGCCCTCCCTCCGTGCAGCTGCGCTGCGCACGTGCTGCAGCCCGGGGCCGGCGAGCTCGCGGCCGGCTCCAGCGAGGGCGCACTCCGAAGCGGAACCGCCTCCGGCTCTTGCGGGCTGTTGCTGCTGCTGTTGTGTGCTGGCAAGGCACGAGAAGGTGCGCGGCGCCAATGCGAGGGCCCCGCTTCGGATTTGAACGCCGATCGCTGCCCATCGTTGGTTCAAAGGTGTGAAGCGTGTGTGCGAGGTGCTGAGGCGGGGGGGGAGAGAGAGAGAGAGAGAGAGAGAGAGAGACTCATTTTGAAAGCGAACCGCCCTCTGTCCCTGTACGTGTTGCTGCAGTCGATCAAGACGAATGTGCGTGGCGCGGAGACGGGAGCCACATGTTGAAAACCACGCGCCATCCAACCTCGTATTTACTGCAAGCCTTGGAGGAAGAATGTGCACGGCGCTGAGTCGAGAGCGACATTTTGAAAGCGAGCTCCCCTCCACCCTTGTGGTGGCTGCAAGCTTTTAGGATCACTGTGTGCGGTGCTAGGGCGAGCGGCCGATGTCGCAGACGAGCCGTTTTCCATCCGTGTAGCTGTTGGTGCATACGCTGTGAGGAAGTCCCGCGCGACACTCCCGGACCGCCCTGCCGACATGTCTGCTGGTGCGGCAGGGAGGAGCCATCCACACGGGACGCGGCTTGCGGGCGATTGCGACGATAACCGCGGCGACGAGGGAGGATATGGAGGACGAGGAGCACCAGGCCGCGCAGAACCGCTCCCGGGTGGGGGGAGCGGCGGTACGGTAACCGTGCGACGCCTGGCGTGCCGCGCCGTTTCCTCCTCGTGCGCTCTGCTCTGGGGCAGCACCTCTTCGCCGAGCGCCGCTTCGCTTCGCCCAGACCACTTGGCCCGCGGACCGCTTCGCCCGAGTCGTGTCGCCCAGGCCCCCTCGCCCGGGCAGGTTCGGGTTGCCGAGCTGCTGCTGCTCCTCCTCCTCCTCCTCCTCATCCTCCTCCCCCCTCCTCTTCCTCCTCCTCACCCTCCTCCTCCCCCTCCTCCCCCCTCCTCCTCCCCCTCCTCCCTCCTCCTCCTCCTCCTCCTCCTCCTCCTCCTTCTCCTCCTCCTCCTCCTCCTCCTCCCCCTCCTTCTCCCCCTCCTCCTCCCCTTCCTTCCAGAGGGGCGCGAGGCTGACTCACTCTCGTCTCCGAGCGCCACTGACTTCGCTGGCTCCCCCATCTCCTCGCCCCTCCTTCCCCCCCCCTCTCCCCGCCTTCCCTCTCCCTCCCAAACCCTTCGGGGGTTGCTGAAGGTGTCCCTGGCCCCAGGTGCCCCCCAGCTTTCCGCTCCATTTTGGAGCTCCTGGGGCCCTCTGGGCCTCGTGAGGGGTGCTCTGGAGGCCTTTGGGGCATTCTTGGAAATCCTGGGGGCACCTCGGGCCATGGGCGCTTCTAGCAGCACCCCCCCCACAGGGAGAGAACGGCCGCATGCTGTCCAGGGTCTGTCCGACAACGATGGCTATACAGCACGTGCGGCTCACGCTCAGCGTGCCCTTTGCAACTGCCCGTGTTCCGCCGCTTTTCCCCGTGCGCGCTGCCCGCGCGATTTACCGATGGCTCCGCCCTCTCTGCGGACCTGCCTCCGCAGAGGCGGGCCCTCCCCTCTCCCCTTTCGGGCCTCACGGGCCAAGGCCTGCGAAGAGACGGGGCGTCTCACAGAGCCCGTGGCATCAGAGTGACGCTCCCCCCGCAGAGGCCCTCTCTTCCGGCCCGCCGCGGAGGCCCTCCCGGACCTCCGCCGCCGCGCTTCCTCCACTGCGCGACGCCCCGGGGGCAGAGGCCTCGACTCGTCCCTCGGGGCCTGGCCCCTGTCCCGAGGGGGTTCTCGTCGACGGTCCTCAGGGGGGCCCCCCGGGCCCGGCGAGGGCCCCCGCAGGCCGAGGATGGCAAGGGCTCGAGGAGGTCGGGGCGTCGGGGCGAGGAGGTCGGGGCTCCCCCCTCCTCGCGTGAGGGGGGAGCCCCGACCTTCTCCTCCTCCTCCTCCTCCTCCTCCTCCTCCTCCTCCTCCTCCTCCTCCTCCTCCCCCTCCTCCTCTTCCTCCTCCTCCTTCTCCTCCTTCTCCTCCTCCTCCCTCTCCTACTCCTCCCCCTCCTCCTCCTCCCTTCTCCTCCTCCTCCCTCTCCTCCGGCGCCAGGAGGCGCCCTCTCCGCAGCCGCTCCGTCTCCGTGAGGGGGGGGGGGGCGCTCCGGGTCCCGGACAAGCCAGGACGCTGCGAGCAATCGGGGGACAAAAGCGCTGAGGCAGCCACAGCCTTTCCGGAGGTCCGCGCGGACCTCCGGGAGCTGTACGTGTCTGT